CCCAAGAATAACCCAAAAAGAATTAATTAATTGGTGTGAACAAGAATTTGGTATAAAAGTTGATCAAGCAACTATTTCCAGAACATTAAAGCACTCATATGAGTATTTGGATAATGAAACAAAGTTACTACAAAATCCACTACAGAAAAAACCCCGTAATGTTAGATATCCTGAGCTTGAGCTTGCACTCCAAGAATGGTTTTTGCGCTCACAAAACCATATTCCTCTCACTGACCTAATCATAACTGGAAAAGCTAAATCATTTGCAAAATTGCTTAATATTCCTGATGATGCATTGACATTTTCTTCTGGGTGGCTTCAAAGCTTTAAAAATAGGTATATTTTTACACATATTTATGATATTAAATTATTAATTTCTTCTATAACAAATAATTACATAAGTAGAAACAATTTGAAAAGATATCAATTGCATGGAGAAAGTGGATCAGCTGATACCAATGCAATTGAAAATGCACTTCCTGATTTAAAAACAATTATTAACTCCTTTAGACCTGAATGTGTATATAATATGGATGAAACAGGACTGTTCTCCCGGCAAGTATATTATTATAAACAATATTTAAAATATTGTTATTTGCTAATGTAATTTAATAAATACATATAGACTTGAACCTGACACAACTCTAGCAACAAAACAATTTGAGGGAAAAAAAAAGGACAAGGAACATTTGACTGTTGTGCTCTGTTGTAATGCTGATGGAACTGATAAACTTCCACCTCTCATTATTGGAAAATTTTTAAAACCTCAGTGTATGAAAAATGTTAATATGAATAATCTTGGAATTACCTATAGAGCAAATACTAAAGCATGGATGACAGCAGTTTTATTTCAAGAGTAAGTAAATTTATGATTAATAATTTAATATGACTTACTTTATAAAGCATTTTTAATCAATTCTCAATTGTAGATGGTTAAGACTATTTGATCAAAGAATGAGTGGTAGAAAGGTGTTATTATTACTTGACAATGCACCTTGTCATATAATTGAAGGGGTAGAATTGAAAAATACACAGATTAAATTCTTACCACCAAACTCCACATCAAAGATTCAACCTTGTGATGCTGGAATTATTGCATCTTTCAAGAAACATTACTGTTGTCGATTTGTACATCACCTTTTTGAAAAGTTTGAGGATAATGAACAGGTTGCCAAACTTAATGTTTTAGAAGCTATACTATTCATTAAAACAGTTTGGAGAGATGATGTTACAATAAATACCATTGCCAATTGTTGGAAGCATACTGGTATTATTAAATTTGATAATAATG